ATGTCTGCTTTCAGTTGGATCTGAAAACTCATTAATATTTATGACACCAGCTGCAGAGAGCTGTTTTTCCATTAATGATACACTGTACCTCAAACAACTTCTTCTCTGTGGTTCCAAACACCAGGAAATGAAGACGGCCTTTTAGTGGTGACATATAAATGTATGCAGACACAGTTTGGATTCCACCTCATGTCCGTTTTAAAGGTCAAGAAGAAGAAGACCGTAACAAGCAAAGTCAGACTCAGGTAGAAAGATGGAGTCCTATTTAACTCTGTCCAGAACTGTTGACCTCAGTGTCTCAGGTCAAGTAGTCACCTCTCTTGACCTCAGCGTCCTGTGCAGTACTTGACCTTTGCCCTTTCACTGAGAGGACAGGTCAATAAGCTTTAGGTAATTTACTTTAAGGGAAGACGCAGTCAAAGTGAAAGTCCCTATTTAAGGTAAAGGACATGTAATTCCAGGAGTGGACGGTCTGGTTTACGACCACACAAGAAGGAAAGTCAATCATCTGGTGTCCAACACACTCTGGAGATTAAGAAGAGTACCATCCATCCATCCATCCATCCATCCATCCATTCATCCAGCCATCTGACTGTCCATTTATCTATCCAGCCATCTGTTTATCCTACAATCCATCCGTCTGTCCATCCATCGATCCATCCATCCGTTTATCTACAATCCATTTCTCCGTCATCCATTGTCTATCCATCTTTCCATCCATCCATCAGTCCATCCATCAGTCCATCTGTCCATCCACCCATCTGTCCATCTATTCATCCATCCATCTATCCATGCAATAATCCATGCATCCATCCAACCATCTGCCCGTCCAACCATCCATCCATGTTTCTATCCGACTGTCTTTTTGTCTTTTCATCCATCATCCATCTGACCATTCGTCCATCCATCCGTCCGTTCATCATCCATCCGTCCGACTGTCCGTTTGTCTATCTATCCGTCTTTTCCATCTTTCCACCCATCCATCAGTCTGTCCGTCCAATCATCAATACATCTATCTATCGAACCATCCATTCGACTGTCCATCCGTCCATCCGTCCATCCATCCATCCATCTGTCCATTCACCCATCTGTCCGTCTATTCATCCATCCATCTATCCATGCAATAATTCATGCATCCATCCAACTGTCTGCCCATCCAACCATCCATCCATCCATCTTTCTATTGCGACTGTCTGTTTGTCTATTCATCCATCATCCATCTGACCGTTCATCCATCCATCCGTCCATTCATCATCCATCCATCCGACTGTCCGTTTGTCTATCTATCCATCTTTTCCATCTTTCCATCCATCCATCAGTCTGTCCGTCCAATTATCAATCAATCTATCGAACCGTCCATTCGACCGTCCATGTCTGCCCATTCATCTGTCTATCTATCTGTCCGTCCGTCCGTCCGTCCGTCCGTCCGTCCATCCATCCATCCATCCATCCATCCATGTTGCTAACACTGAACAGTACCCGGCTGTGTGTTGCCATGAGAATAAGAGGCTGTGTTTCCTTGGCAACTATTCTTCAAAGGCCCCCCCCTCCGCCTCTCTGCTGTCTGCACTCTATTGATGAGATTCGATGATGCAAGGGCAGCAGCAGTAGTGTTAATAGTTACACCATCATTAAGACAGCGCTGGAATTGTAAGAGATGCAGTGATGTGATAATCTTAACGATCCTCATCTGTTATTGAAATGTACGAACTGGAAACAAAGACGAACCTTCGAGGTTCAGACGAGATATATTCTGCTTGTGGAAAGAAAACACTGATCCGTTTGGATGAAGCTACAAATCTTTTGTTTCTGACTGTGATCCAGGAGTGCTAATAACTGCAGTGTGGAAACGTTATAACTCAACTGATATCACTCCTTTGGGACCATCATGAGACATTTAAAGCAGCTATTATATGTTTTTAATAATAATAATAATAATAATAGATCAGATGGCTATATCTGACAAGACAAGGGGTAGATGTAGTGACAGACTCAGAGAATTATCACCTGACTCTGACTGCAGTTCATCTTAGTGCTGCTTAGCCTTTTAGCTTGTTTCAGCTCATTGTTAGTTTCCTGATCACCGAAAAGGCTTGCTTTTTCAAGCCAGTCTCACTTTCAAAAGCGCTGAAATCCGGCGCTTCGTCAGTGACTTCCAGCGTCAGACACAGACGAATTAAGCCGTCCTTTCACATCGGCATGATACACAACCGGTGTGTCCCAGAATGTCAACACCTAAGTGGAACTGGAAAGTCTATGACCAAACGTCAATATGTGATGAAATCGGAGTGAGAATGTGTTGATAGAGCGGGCGCACTAGAAACTTAGTGCGGCCCAGTGTCTCAAAAATTCTGACAGCACAAATAACTAATGTGAGCCAACTAGGATTTGTCCCCAGGTTCATTGTAAACTCTGACTTATCCATGTGACTGTTACGAAGCAGAAACATAACTTGTTTCTTCATGTGCAACATGTTAGTCTGGAGGTTTAAACTGGTGTCCTCTCACAGAGTTGGTGATTCAAACTAAACTTTCATCTCTGTCAGAGAAAACTGATCTGAGTTCACACTGTTTACTTACAGCACAGCTACACTCACAGATAACTGAGCCTCCTACCTGCCTGTCAAACACCATCAACCCACAAACCTTCTCCAGTCCGGACTGAGTGGAGTCCTGCGGGGTGAAGCTGTGAAGGCTGTGAGCGGAGCTAGCTGCTAACTGCAACTAACAAACTCCACAAATCCATTCAGCAGCTCCACCATCCACAGTCAGACACACACGGCTGATTATTTACTGCTGAATTACAGCTCACAACTCGCACCAACCCAAACATCCTGGTGCAGACTATTTACTGGAGTTTACCAGCCTGTTGTTCATGTGGCATCTGAAGATCATTACAAGAACAACGTCCGATAGTCCAACACAAACACTTTCGTCACTTCTTGTCTTGAAAACTCTCTTGTTTCTGTCATAGAAAAAAGGTCGTTACCAATTAACACTGGTTTTGGGGAGATGTCATGTCGTCTATCTTTATCATACAGTCTAGATGATGCTAACGTTACTCTGCATCTCCTAGATGTGCAGTAAGGCAGCTGTATGCTAACATGCTCACTCTGTCAGTTTACTGTCTGTGATGATACAGTTTATTAATGTTGTAATCACAGCTTGTTTCTGTGATGGGCAGAAAAATAACAGTTTAAACTACAGAATAGTAACGTGTGTAGATGCCTAGTAGCAGGTAAATCTCTGTGTATTTAGTTACGCTGCAATGCTATCTGGGTAAATTCATATCCTATGTCTTTGTTCCCAGAGTCTTGTGCTTCCAAACTCAGTATCCGCTCAAATGTTGAGTTATCCCTGAGTCAGCATGTTGAAATCACCCACATACAGCTTATAGACTACTGCTGGTATATACTTTTTAAACCATTAGTCGTCAAACTTGCAGGCAAGGCAGTTTCCTTAGATTTAGACATTGATGTCTCCACAGTGGCTGAACAGATTTTAACCACTCAAACTGCATTTGAAATGTGCACACACCTTTGTTCTTTTGCTACTTGAAGTGTAAAGACAGTCTCTTACAGTGTTGGTTTATATCAAGAGAAACAAGCTCAAAATTAAACACAAGGCTACGCCAGGCCCAGGAGAACACAGAGATGACCCCAGGCGAACCAGCACTAGCCTCATTACATAATTATTGTGGTATTTTTCTGCTCTTATGTTAATCTGCCCTCATGGCCCTCACTTTGTTCATGCTTTCTTTGGCCTAATGAGCCGATGCTTCCTCAAACCTAATTTAAGACTACCCTCCTGCCCCCCCACACACACTGTACTGTGCATGAATTTTATGTTAATTTCTGTTTCTGCCTGTGTGTGTCTGTCAGGTGGAGGGTGCTGATGCTGTAACCACTGTGTGGAGCTGACAAGCCCTGGTTGATGCAGTGAAGTGTTCTGGAGGGATAAACACAAGCGAAGGTAGGAAGGAAAAATGAGGAGTGGGAAAAGATGTGTTTTTAAGAACTGAGCTGAAAAATAATGACATGGCAGAGAAACACCATATGGGCGAGTCTGAGCGAGGAGAGACGGGTAGACAATTAAGGAGTAAGGAAAGAGTGATGGGAGAGAGGAGAGCTGGGAGAGTACAGTCACTGCATCGGTTGTGTACAGTGCAGCTGCTGCTTGGGTTTGATTCACAGGCCACTGAATAGCCAGTGTGCTCCTGAAAGAGAGATCATTGTGGTTTAGAGGCAGAGAGAAAGAGACACAGATGGAGAGATGAGTTCAGATGGTATTACTGCTGAGTTAATAGACGTTAGACTTGGCACAGGCGGGCGATGTTGTTACTGTGCTCAGTAAATCCACAGTGCTGAAGCTCGCGGGCTGTAACAGGAGGGATCTTTCAGTACGAGCTGAAAGGAAGCCGGGAGGCCTCGCTCTGCCTGCTTGGCTCCCAGTCTGGACCAGGTTTGCTTTTCAGTCGCCATGTGGGAGCCGAGCCGTGTCTTTATTAAGACTCGAGGAGCCCCTCGGTTTGGTTTCTCTTGCTGGACTACAGATGAGAGCTGTGTGCCGCGCGGTTGCATAAGACGGGCACTTTGCTCCACTTTCACGCTGGCTGATTGCAAACATGTTGTATGTTTGCGTGGAAGAGAAACTGCAACTGGTGGCCGCCAAGAACACTTCCTAATTCACAGAATGTGATGTCTTAATATCAAACGCTGATACATCCAACGGCTTTTATGTAATGTACATTATGGATGCCAGTTTAAGAGGGAACGTGTTTACACAGCCGATCGCCATTTCCATTCTGCCACTTAGATTTGTTTGCACCTAAGGGCCACCAGCGAGACCGGATGGCACCATGACAGAGATGTCCGGTGACAGACGAGGCCAGAGGAGCTGGGAAAGTGCTGCTGAGTGGTGAAATAGAGAAGTGAGGCAGAGAGGAGAGCTGGAGGGGATATTTTTGAGGAACCCATTCTGACGTCAGAAACAAAAAGAGAGAAGGAGTTTTCTCTGTTTGCGTATGAGCTGAAAAGATAAGGACACACATCAGGACGGTGCAGCCAGAGGAAACAGACAGAAATGCAAATATAACGTTGCACAGACAGTATTTTAAGCTCTTATTAGAGACAGCCTTGCCCTGCAGAGTGTCCTCCTCCACCAGCATGACAAATAACACACACAAAAAAAGAACAAAGTGCAGCATCGAGCACGCAGAGCAAATAGAGAAAACCACAGGCCTTTAAATAGATGGCTGAAAACGAGAAGTGTGAAGTGGACAGAGATACACAGAGGCAGAGGGAGAAAGAGCGAGAGCAGAAGTTTACATCAGTCTCTATGAAACCAGTGCCACCGTGGGACTGCAGCTATCGCCGTGAGCCGGCTAACTGGGATTTACTCACAGCAACCGCTTCACAAAGCAGGGAGGACGAGAACAGGAGGAAGACGAAGACCAAGACGAAGAAGATCAGGGCTACGGATAACAGAAGAGGCAAATCGATTGTAGGAAACGAGGGTAAGAAGATGTGTGAGAAGCTGTCGGTTCGTTTCTAGATTTCCTGGAGGGTGTTTTTGGTGAATATTTGTGTTTACTGTTGGTGTTGTGCGATGAACACAAAGAGTGCTGTTAAAGCCTGCTGCATCAGATCAGCGCTGTAAGCAGCTGACCCAGAGCATGAGCAGAGCTGGAAGCTTTTTTTTCCTCCACATCTTCTGCTGAGACGAGCAGACGATATTACCAGGCCAACAGTATCCTGGCAACCATCAGCCGAGCGCTGCTCTCAGGATGGACCACATGCTGCTCCAGACTCGCTCTATGTGTGTTAACGTTTGTGTGTGTGTGTTTTTGGGCGGTGTACGCCACCTCTAACACACCCTCCTCCTCCTCGCATGTCAGAAAGCGTTGTATGAGGCTACGATGTGAGCCTCAGCTTGATGTTGCCTTTGCCGTCACCTTGTCAGGGTGAAGATGTGAATCTGGTATTCATGTATTCATAGCATCAGTTCAGGGTGTATCTGGGAGCAGGTGGTCGAACAGTCACGAGGAGTCGGGCTGCGTTTTTCACGTCTGGACGTCACAGCAGTGACTCAGCATATCGCTCCCCTCTCTGCCTCCCAACAGATTTTCTAGATGGTATAAAGGTGTAATACAGTAGACGCAGCTCTCATCAGTGTCGAGCTGTTTCAGCGACCGGACTGTAACTCCATCCCCCCCGTCTGTACCCCGCTGCTGCATTGCAACACCCGTTCTGCTGAGTAACAGTGAAAAGAGGGTTTTTTCGCAGGACGGTGGCATCTCGTAAACATGCTAATGCTGCCCATAAATCACTCTTGCAGGGGGAAAGTGATCGGCCTCCACTGTGTGCTAACATAGCACATAAACACAGAGGAAGTGAAACTTGGCAGCTACTTACCTTCTGCTACCAAAGGCCCTTTATGATCGAGGAGGGGAGGCGATTAAGGAGGAAGGCTGTTTGACACTGGCACAGACGAGAGTCATTTTTGAATATTGGATTCCATTTGGTTTCTGTGTTTATTGTGGGTCTTTCTAACGTGACACATGAGGCCGCTCAGTCCTCCTCCATCTATGTTCCTTAAATTTCCTCCTGAAGTAGCTTTAAGGTTGTTAAAATCCTGAGAACATCACATACAGTATACACTCATCAACTGCAGATGCAGATAGCTAATCAGCCAATCAGGTGTCAGCAGCTCATTAACATTTAGTCATGTAGACATGATGAAGACGAGCTGCTGAAGTTCAAACGGAGCATCAGAATGATTAAGAAAGGTGATTGAAGTGACTTTGAACTTGGCATGGTTGTTGGTGCCAGACGGGCTGGTCTGAGTTTTTACTGGGATTTTCAGCACAACCATCTCTAGGGTTTACAGAGGATGGTCCCAAAAAGAGCAAATATCCAGTGAGCCAAAATGCCTTGTTGATGCCAGAGGTCAGAGGAGAATGGCCAGACTGGTTCAAGATGATAGAAAGGCAACAGGAAGTCAAATAAGCACTGGTTCCAACCAAGGTGTGCAGAAGAGCATCTCTGAAGCAACAACACCTTGTCCAACCTTGAAGCAGATGGGCTACAGCAGCAGAAGACCACACCAGGTGCCACTCCTGTCAGCTAACAACAGGAAACTGAGGCTACAATTCACCAAAACTGGACAATAGAAGATTGGAAAAACCACATTCAGATGGAAGCATGGATCCATCCTGCCTTGTATCAACGCTTCAGGCTGCTGCTGTTGGTGTAATGGTGTGGGGGAGATTTTCTTAGTACCAACTGAGCATGGTTTAAACACCACAGCCTACCTGAGTATTGTTGCTGAGCGTGTCCATCCCTTTATGACCACAGTGTACCCATCTTCTGATGGCTACTTCCAGCAGGATAACGCACCATGTCACAAAGCTCACATCATCTCAAACATGACAATGACTTCACTGGGTCTGGACACCAGATGGATGCTTCAGTTCAACCGATACCAAACTACTATGTCCTTCTTGGATTGTAGATGCTACATCCTCAGGATAGATACCAAGATATAGGTTTATCCCAGATATCTCTTGTTAGATCACATTACTTCTTTGTGTGCATACTGTGTGTTCTGCCACCTTGTTAGTTCAGAGAATAATCTACACACACAATGATTTACTATTTAAAATCTATCCCGTTTTGATTCAGCGATCAGAGAGAAAAAGGCTTAATATTAGGGGAATTATTTCAGTTTGGATCCCACCAGTGACACATTCACCTCCTGAATCATGATCCATGGCTCTCTCCTCATGATGCAGTATAATCTGTTGTCGCTGTGACTCTGGTCTTGGTACCAGATCTCGTGGTCTTGTGGAAACCTTCCGCTCCGGACTGTCTGGCCAGGTCGCTGCTCCTCGGTTGTAAAACACCTGACATATGCAGTGTGATCCGCAGCTGCATGTGCAGAGACCCAGCATGTATTCCTGTGTTTCCTGTGTCTGTCTGACCTGCAGTATAATCTGATCACGCTCACATCATGGGCTTCATAAAGCTCTGGCACGTGGCCTTTGTGTATGAAGTATAAGAGCTCGTCATAAAGAATCTATAGACTGCTGTACTTGAGGAGCATTAGCAGAGAGTAGGCTTTGATTAGGTTACTATAGTGATGTAACTGGATTAAATCCTCTGCTCAGCTCTTGTGACTCCTGATGAGCGATTGAAATGATTCACGAGTGGATGTCGGCCTGCGTCTAATGGAGGACAGCGTGCGCTGTGTATAGGATGCAAACTGTGATCAGTGTCATTTATGACGGGACTGTCTGACTTTGCTCGGGACATATTGCTGAGACAGAAGGATGGAGGAAGAGGAGGCGGGGAGGAAGAGTAAGGGATGATTAGAGAAGTGCAGATGGGTAAAAATAAAACGCTCCCGACCTGCTGTGGTTTCCATGTGCATGTTGTGTATTTTCCTGCGGGTTGCCAGGTTCTGTATGCATCTTGTTATTTCCTCCCGTCCAGGTCGCCAGCCATGGGGAACCTCATTAAGGTCCTTGGCAAGGATTTAGAGAACTGTCCACATTTTTTCCTGGACTTTGAAAGTAAGTGAGCGCCGGGGTGTGTGCACGTGTCTGTGTGCTTGAGATGTGAGGTCACATGTGTGCAGCGGAGGTGTTCAGTGGGAGGTCGCTGGGCGGGGTCACCGGAGGGATATTTGGGTGTGAGCTGCTGAGTTGTTGGTGTTGTGATGGAGTGTTGTTGTGGGTGTGGTTTGTCACTATCAGACGCTCTCTAGTCCCACTCTCACTACTGAAAACTGCTGCGTCTGATGATGGTGTAAATAAAATAACGTGCAGGGACTAAACAGGCCTCAGTGTGAGTCAAAACCTGAGACAGGTTCAGAGAAGAGTTCATTTATGCTGTTATATCTTAAACAACACTAAAAGTTACGGATATATATTTTGAGTTTTACACAGTATATCCAGCTTTGACTCTTAATGCAGGTCTGCACTTTTACAGTATGTTTTTTAATCAGTGTTATTCAACAAAATATCTTCAGAAATAAATAGAAATAAAAGTAATGAAGAATATGAATAATTTTAAACCATAAATGACCTCAGAGGTAAAACCTACATCAAAACTGCACGACATTTCTCCGTCTTCACTTTTATGTCACAGAAACTCGTCTCTCTCACTTTGTCTCGTCCAGTTTCATTTCTGACGCACAGCTCTCATTACAGAGTTAACAGCTGCTCACAGACAGAGATGGTCGAATCAGTCGGGCGCTCATGTGTAGTTTTATTTTCGGTTCTGCTCTCAAGGTCATTCGGTTGGTTATCAAGTAATTTTGATTCTCTCAATTTGATTTTTCAGTATTTTTGTTCAGTTCATACTGAAACAAATATGATCTCATTTAATTTACAATTTGTGCCAGAACATGTGGCATAAAATAAACTATTTCTATATATTTTAACATAGAATTCTTTCTCTTTTTGGTGGTTTTTCATTTATTCTAATTTTCTCTCAATTATTATTTTTGCATGATTGTTGGGATGATTTAATCAATTCCTAGTGAAACAAATGTAATACCATATCATTTTTAAGATTTTTGCCAGAAAATAAAAAATAATTAATAAGGATTCAGTTTTTTTAAATTATTTTCATTCTATCTCAATTATTATTATTTATACTTTATTCTTGGAATAGTTTACTCAGTTGCTCATGAAACCAACATAATGCCATATAATTTAGGATTTTTGCCAGAAAATTGGAAAAAAATCTTTTATTTATTTATTTATTCTTTTAAACACAGAATTATTTTGTATGTGTTTGTTTTTCAATTACATTTTTTGATTCTCAATTCTTTATTATTTTTGTTTGATTCTTGGATTAGCTTACTCAGTTCCTACTGACATATAATTTAAAATGTTTTTCAGAAAATAAGAAATAATTTCTAGTCTTTTATTTTTTTAGTTTAGACAATTTTACAAAAATATATAATTTAAGAGTTTTACTGGAAAGGGATAAATTGTTTTATTTATTATTATTTAGTTTCCCATTATTTTTTATTTTTTCTCTGTTATTATGATTTTATAATAATAAATAATATTTTTTTTGTTATTTAATTTATCTATTTATTTTTATTTTATTTTATTTGCTTGATTCTTTTTTTGTTTAAGATTTTTGCCAGAAAATGAGAAATAAATTCTAATCATTATATATATTTTTTATAAATACATACTTTTAATTGAGGGGGTCATTTCTTTTCGTTCTTTCTCAAATATTATTATTTTTCACTGCACTCAGTTTCTTATTAAACAAATAAAATGCCACATATTTTCAGAGTTGTGTCATAGAGTGAGGAATAAATTCTTATAGTTATAATTGTTCAAATAGATTTTTGCCTGTTCACACTGTCTTCTCTGTAACCTTTGACCTCTGACCTTGATGACGGCCATCATCACCAGATCAGTGACATATTGATCTGTAAATAAAGGAGTGGGATTAAAGATGCTCTGTGTTCATGTTGCCATGCTTCACCCAGGACATTCCTCCACCACATCATCCCAACAGCCCTCTCTCATCCAGTCCTCCACCCCGACACCGTCACCTCTCACACACCACACACACACACATACACACACGTACACGTGCACAGCCCCGACACCCGTCCCCTCATCACCCACAGACTTCTCCCCTCTCTCTCTGTTCCAGGGGGCTCATGGGAAACCTCCTGAAAGTGCTGGCTTGCGCCGAACTTGAGCATGGCCCAATAGTTTTCCTTGACTTTGAACGTGAGACCATCCGCTTCTTATTTTTTTGAGTTATCCCTTTCTCTTTGTTGCCTTTTGCTTTCTTTTCCTCATTCCATCGATCGTAGCTGACCATCGTGTCATCTTTACGTCCTTATTTACTCCTTCCTCCCTCCTCCTCCTCCTCACCCTCCTCTTTATCTTTTGATTTCTGCTCCAGGGACTGGCATTTGAGAGGCGTTTGGCTTCTTTCTAAAGAGTCTTATTCACACGCGCCACATCTTATTAGACGCAGACAGATGCACAAAGGCATGGTGACGCCTGAGCAAAGTGACAACAATGATGCTTTGATCTCGGCTCCTAAGATACAAAAACTGAGGAGACACAAACAGCGGATGCCAAGATGCCAGTCCTGTGTGGGGCTCTGTTGCTCGGGGATGACGATGGCCCACAAAAGTCCATCGTCATCCCTCCTCCTCCTCATCTCCTCATCCCCTATTGTATGACCTGTTGTGTGTCTGACCTGTGTGTGTGTATGTGTGTGTTGCACTAAACAGTGTGTGTGTTAGTGAGACTGATGAAGAGAGAAAAGAGAGAAAGATTGTGAAGGAGGTTGGTAAATCAAACCACCTCTGTCCCCCCTTTTTCTCATGTTCCTAGTCGGTGAATCTTAAACTTTGCGCTGTGAAAAAGTCCATCATAACAAGTCATTTTATTTCAGTGCTCAGCGTTAAAATCTTCTGCAGCTGTTGCAAAAACTTAAAATGTTAAAAACAAATCCTGCTGAAGATTTTACGTCTGATCTCTGAGACTGAATGAATTGTTAGGGTGGAGATGTTTTGCTGTGTGTCCCCACATATTCTGCTCCTCCTCAACCACTTTCCCCCTTTAACAGCTGGCTTCCTCCTCCTCCTCCTCCTCCTCCTCCTCCTTCTCCTCCTTTACTGACTGTATGTCAGAGTGGGAGAGCTCACTGCTGGCGAGAGAGACGTCAGCTGTCAAACAGGCTGAATTTCCCCTTCATTTATTATGCCTGTGATTCACTTTAGTTCAGAAGCGAGTGGAATGAGTCAGACTGCAGCTCGGCAGCTTTAGACACGTCCCCGGCCCCCCCGGCCCCCCCGGTGCCATCTGTGAGCTCTCCTCCTCGGCCCAGAGACACTCACCTCTGTCACACAGCTCAAAGTTTGGTATCAACTCCATCCTGAGCTCTCACTAAACTATTCATGGCTGAATGCTAATGAATATACCGCCTTACAAACTTGTGACGGATCAGGAGCAAAACAGTTGCACTGATGATTTATTTCAAACACATTAAAACTACTTGGAAATATCTTTTAAAATCCTGCTTTTGAAGCTACAGTCAGATCAGCTAGCTTAGCTTAGCTTAGCTTAGCTTAGCATAAAGACTAAACAGGGTGAAACAAAATCCACTCCTCACAGCTCTGAAGCTCTCTACACATGTTATGTGACATTTTTTAAATCCATACAAAAACCAAAATATAAAAAGGAGTGACGTCAATTTTCCAGAAAGAGTCCAGCACTTCAAATACGTCACCCCCAAAATGACCACTTGTACATTAATTAGCTCTGCAGTGTTAGCTTGAATTTGTGAAGACAACGTTTTTCTTGCATCCCCCACAGAAAGCGGTGAACATATTGATTTACCAAGTTGTCTACTTCCAGCGTCAGACACCGACAACAAAAGCCGTCCTTTCATGTCAGCATGATACACGTCCAGTTACCGTTATTGTTTAACGCCTCATTATTATGGATGAGACTGAGCGTATGACTGGATACATGGGACTTGGATTATTCTGCACGAGTTGTGTCAGAGTCAGTAAACAGATGTTTTAACAGAGTTTTGCTGTTGTTAAATGTGTACCGTTTCCTGTGGAGGCTTGCAAGACAAACAAAGTTCTCTCAGGGATTAAAGGTGCACCAGCATGGCTGACTGATATACAGATGGTCATTTTGTGGGTGATGTGTCAATGAATGAACTTAATGCACAGAATGCAGCACAAAGTGTTTCACAATTCAGCTGTAGAGACGAACAGCAAAGAAATAAAACAGTAATCAAGGAAACAAAAGCATGAACAAGCTTCAGCATCTCGCTGGCTCAGCAGAGGCTGCACCTGAGCTGTATAGTGTAAATGACAAAATGCAGTTTGGGTTAATGAATTCAAATGAGCTTTAAAATTGAGATCAGAATCCTCTTATTTTTTGGGCCCACTAGTACGATCTCAGTCTTATCTTCATTTAGCTCAAGGAAGTTCTGTCTCATCCAATCATTAACAGCTGATTAACAATCAGTTATTATGGATGAAACAAGGTATTTGCGTCACCTGGCATCATTTAAACCTCATGAAAACCTTTCAGGCACCATAGGTGAAGAAAAAAACCCTCTGGACAGAGTCAGGTCAGATGTTTCCCTCCCTGCCTCCAGACTTTATTCTAAACTAAGTTAAGCATCTCCATTCACCTATTCAGCATTCAGATATAGGCTAAGAGTGATATGTTGACACTGCAAGAAAGCAAACTATTCCTTAATGCCATGAGCATATGCTTTGCTCATTTATTAATTACTGTACCTATTAAACAGAATCTTGCTGTTTACGGCAGGAACACAGGAGCACATTGGTGAGATCACTAAAATAGCAGTGCTTGCTGTGCATGTTGTGGCAGTGTGCATGTAGGATAACAAATATTCCATGATTACTCGTTCTCTGCAGGGAGACGATGCCTCAGGGTGCAAAAATAATCACCGCATGTAGAGAGCTGCCTGGGCCCACTCCCGCTCCCTCTTTATACCTGAGTCACACATGGAGAGGGACAGCTGCAGGAAAAGAAATCCAAACACAACGATGACTCGAGAGGACGCGTCCTAAATTGTGTCCCTCAAACACTTAATCCCTCCTGTACGCATGCAGCACGCCACATGGGCACACAAAGCAGAGCTGTGACTGGGAGGTGCCCTGGGGCAAAAACACTGAGTTTACAGTACGTACGCTGCTCGGTGTGTGTGTGAGTGAGACAGAGACAGAGCCCAGAGGTGCTCCTCCCTGCTGAGTGTTTGCTTTAATGTTTCTCACAATTAAACCTCAAGGGCAAAATAAAGTCTCTACCCATTCATAGATGCAGAGATGGATCAGACTATTACCTGGATCTGATGAGACAGTTACACCTAGCAGTATAAATCTCCTCTGAACAGGCAGCTGAGACGATTAGAGTTCAGCAGTCAGACACAAGTGGAGCAGCCCGGTCTCTTTTACTGCGACTCAAACCATCAGGATGTTAAATTATCTGTTATCACATCCAAAAAGTTCCCTGAGGAGAAACTGACTCGTCATCTTCATGTCCTTATTGGACACCACACGCTGTAATCAAACCTCGCTGTGTGACAGAGCGTGGCGTGCAGGTCTCTTGTTATAATTCGATGGCGGGTAAATTGGATCATTCATTTAGTGGCCAGATTTGGACCCTAGATGGCTGCAGTGTCCACTGCGCAGTGATTTCCACTTGTAGGGACATTTTGCAGTCGTGTAGTGAGTCACTCTCAGGTGTTTATCTGGCCGTCTAAGGTTGTCACCTCTTCAGCTCTTCCTCCGTCACTAACCTCCTTCTCTTCTCAAATCTCCTCTCATTATCTCCTCCCTCCCTCCTCGCCATCTTTCCTTTCCTCTTTTTTGCCAAATCCCTCCATATATTCAACCGTACCTTACATCACACTTTCACTTCCCACTCCTTCTCTCTTCCTCTTTCCCTCCTCCCCTCTTTGCTCCCCTTCCTTCGTCCCCTCCCAGATGCCCAGCCCACGGAGGCAGAGACAGCCGTGTGGAACCAGGTCAGCGCCGTGCTGGAGGAGGCTCATGGGATCCTCGCCGAGCTGCAGTCCTATAATGGCGCTGGCCAGGAGATACGAGAAGTGAGCACGAAGCAGTCGATAAGTGCTGAACATCAATAAACTGTCGAGCCACGGTGCAGTGTGTGATTCACGTGGCCTGCCGGGGTGCAGCTCTGTACATGGTGCAGCCTGCAGCCTGTGCTGAATATAGGCACAGACAGAAATGTGTGAAAGAGTTTTTTCAAACAAACATTTCAGGCAATATGTTGTTTTTTTGGCAACGCTCTGGTGGAGTCATAAACATCACCTGTTAGGAAGCTGCTGTGCCGTCTCCATGAACACCAGATTCAGAGACACGTTACTGGAACCAGTTTCCACCGCTCAGCTGTTGGCATCACTCGTCTCCTCACCTTGATGACATGTCTTAAGACACTTAGGCAGACTCTTACACTTAACTGTATTTCACTTAACGTGCAGCTGCAGAGGATTGCTGAAGCTGGTCACTGTGTTCACGTGCACAAAATATTCAGATTTTTGCCCTCTTTCCAAAAAAGACAACATTCCTACCAAGCTATTTGCAGAGCTGGGCACCCAGTAGCTCACCGGGCACAGAGGCTGTGTCCTCGCTGCAACTGCTGCAGGTTCAATTCCAGCCTGTGCCTTCTTTGCTGCGTGTCATCCCCTCTTAAACTACTCTATCTAACAAAGGCAAAAAGCCATAAAAAATAATCCTTAAAAAATGTATATTCCATTAATTCTTTCACTTACATGCAGCTGTGGCTGGAGACACTTTATATTTTGCTTCGTTGCATCAAAATAGTATTTTTTCAAAGTGCTCTTATCAGTGGAGCACTTGTTGGACCGTGTGAACACATCCTCCCTCTTTTATTCCCTTAAACTCTTTCTTGAGAATCAGCGTTGCGATATTTGCACATATCCAAAAACCTGTTGATATCTAAGTCTTTCATAAAGTTTCATTGAGTAAAGAAACAATACCAAAGACACGCACACTCCAACATCCAATGGAGTGGGTGTTGGACCAAAGAAACGTCAGGCAAAGTCTGCACACCCAGCAGTTCCCATTTAGAAAGATTTTAATGCAGTGATGTTTGGAACCACACAGCTCTTTCCTCAGACTTCTGATAAATGACAGAAAGTCGCCATCTGAAGTACCCATAGTGCCCGAGCCCGTCGTGACACGCCACACCTGTTGCCCATATTCATAGTAAAGATAAACCAAGAAAATAAATGGACTACACTTTCACAGCGCCTTTCTACCCTTTCGACCACTCAAAGTGCTTTTTACACTACGAGTCACACTACACACTAGCTGTGTTTCCATCCAAAAGTGATTTGAATCATTGGGAAATGTGCATTAAAAGAAATACGAATCCTGTGTGTTTCCATTAAATCTACGGACTTTGGTGAAAACTATGAACTCGCGCGAGTTTTCCGCAGAACCGGAAACAAAACAAGTCTTGCATTCTTCTTCTTCTATGTTTTCTGGCGGTTGGCAACCAGCTTGTAAATGCATTACCGCCTTCCCAACCCGGAGTGTGGATATCACCATGGAGAGAGGTGCTCTACGTCAGACTTAATTCTAACATAATTGTTTCCATCCCCCGTTTTGCGAATCAACATTTTTTTTAATCAACCAAAACCCGGCTAAAGCTAGCGTATTTTAGTTTGTGCGAATCAGGAGGTTTTAATTCGAATTTTGGCGTTTCCATCATAATTTTCCGATGCGATACTTCTAGATACGCATCTACACAGGCTGATGGAAACATGGCTACTGGTGGCCGAGGCTACCGTACAAGGTGCCACTTGCTACTCAGTTTTAACACACTCACACACCGGTGGAACAGCCAGTGGGAGGAATTTAGGGTTCAGTATCTTGCCCAAGGATGCTTTGACATGTGGACTGGAGGAGCCGGGGATCAAATCGCTGATCTTCCGATTAGTGGGCGACCCGCTCTACCTCCTGAGAAGAGCTCTTTCTGGTCAATGAAGTTCAGCATCACCGTCCCATTTTACAGGGCGGCTGTGACTCAGGAGGTACAGCTGGTTATCCTCTAATCAGTAGATCAGCGGTTCGATCCCCAGCTCCTCAAGTTTACATGTCAAAGCATCCTTGTGCGAGATTCTGAACCCCAAATTGCTCCCAGTGGAGCAAACTGAATATACATGTGTACCCTAATATCATACCAGAGCAACCTTTAATACAAAATATGAGGGGGAAATACAAGCATGTACACATTTTATATCCTCCAGCCTCTGATACATTACGGACAGTCCCTAAGAAATGTTGTTGCTACTTTGTCGTATGTGCCTGTTGTGTGTTTTGGTCAACTATGTCTCGTAAAGTCTTAAAATAACCTCCCTAAATAATACAAAGGATGTTATGTGTCATGACAGTAAAACTAAATGAGGTTTTCCTGGTTAATGACATTTGACAGTCTTTGATACTGAAGTTTTTGCTGAACTGAAATTACTATAATATGGAAGTGATATCAGAGCTGAAAGTGAAAATGTTTTCCCTAAGTGAAGTTTGGCTTTGAGGCAGCGAGGATAGAAGAGACGGAGGATCATTTTTGGAGAGTAACATCTGTGCTCCTCGCCTGCAGGCCATCCAGAACCCAGGCGACCTCGCTCTGCAGGAGAAGGCCTGGAACGCAGTCTGCCCCCTGGTGGCCAAACTGAAGCGCTTCTACGAGTTTTCCCTCCGACTGGGTGAGTGTGGCTGTGAAGTAACTTCAGGTGACGTAACACTCTCTGGTGGCCATATTGGAGGACCAATAAGAGCTGGAATTATGGCTGCAAGCAGCTGTAGCCTAAATTTAGAGAGAGCGTTTGCTCAGTCGTACTCAGCGCCTCGTTTCTTTGATTCTGAGCAGCTATCAGAGGGAACATTTCTGCACCTCAGTGTGTGAATGTGTTGTATGGGTTACACAGTGAGAGGAAGGGAGGATTACACTGTAGCAGCAGTAGGAGATGACGTGCACAGAAAGAGGAGCATCACTCACGCTCATCTCTCTTTGCTGAGGCTGTAATGAGCTTTTCTTGCGTTCTGGCAAAGCTGTAAATTCTTTCTTTGCTCTGTTTGTCACATCTTGTGACAGAGATGTGTGTGAGGTGGGCGTCTCAGAGCAAGTGTACAGGACTGCTGACATGTTCAACACAAGCTGTTGTTTTGTCTTTTTGACAGCGATTCGACAGGTCCAGGATGTGACACATGTGACGTGTACGAGATGTGACAGACAGTCTCTGTTAATAGCCACATTGTGACCCTGACAAATACAGTGAAAAAACATTTCAACACAGTGAACACACCGTATACGTTTCACTGAACCTGAAATAAGAGTCAGATTCATTTTAAGAACAGGTAGACTCTGATCATCACCAGCAAACCTCATCTTGTGCTGTCAGCGCTGCTTCACAGCTCCACGCCACCGCCGTGATTTCACATGCAATTTCAGTCCGGCAGCATTCCTCAACACACACACACACACACGTACTATGATGTCCTCTCAGCCATCTCTGCAGCATCCTGACCTAGCAGGCAGGCAGCCGTTGCTACGGAAACAGTGGTACATGGTCGTCCAGCACAAAGAGAGACGGGGAGAGGAGTAACAGCAGAGGAATAGAGTTCGTCTGCCGCCTCTGCTCTGCCTTCCAATAATACTTCGATCTCATGGACATCACGTTCTCAGCTTACCATAGAAAGAGGCCTAACTAATTATTAATGATAATGTATCAGTGCTAATGTATCTGTGAGGTATAGTACAACAGATAGCTCGGAGACGTCCCGCCCTCCTCATGCAGAGAAAGGGATCTAATCTTGTACAAACTAGAAGCTCCTTCCTGTTTAGCTCCATCTTTTTGAAAGGTATTGATTAAAGCAAGGGAGACAACAAGAGGTTAAAAGGTCACGTATACAGTAAACAAACAGCTGCAGTGTGTCAGTATGTCCCCTCAGGAGTCAGCGCTCAGGATAGGGAGCGAGCGCTCTGTGCTAACAGCAGGAGGGAGAGTGGGGTTTCTGCCCAGGCCCTTTAGATGAAACACTTCATAGCTGTATTTATAGAAGGCCCTTATGCATTTTTAATGCAGAGAAAGGGATGGGGCCTCGGGGGACTTTGCTTCTGAGGCATCACTGCTCCACAGAGCCTCTGAGGTCCAGCTCTGGTGTCTGATTTGTTAGAGAACAGGCTTAGGTTCAATAGCATGTGTGACACAGAGGATATGTGTGGTCGGTGATACAGCGTCCACGAGGGCGCTCAGGCTGTGTGAGGCCGCCGTGTGGTCTCTGTGGAGTCACACGCACAGTATATGTTCATTTAGTTTGTCTAGTTGAAGGAAATGTATTGTTAATGCAAAAAGAGAGCTGCTGAACTGCAGAGCGTCTGCAGCCTGCTCCTCAGAGGCTTCAGGCTACGTTAGCTGCTACCAAGCTAACTCAGGAAATGAGCAGCAGTCTGCGGGGTGAAAGTCCAGTGTTTGTTAGTCCCATCCATCTCTCGTACGACCCGCCCTATAGGGACTCTCTCGCTCCTTATACTATTGCAGACGGTGTCAGAAACAGACGCCGCTCAGTGCAGATTATACAACCACGAATAGTGTCTCAGTGCATCGGTGTCTGACGCTGACATTCTCTGACAAAGCGGTTGTATTTGACGTGTCTGGCTGTGGCCGGTGGCGTCAGAAATAGCTGCCACCTGGTGTGTATCATAGCAAAAGTTTCCTCTGTACATTCTGACGCTGAAGTCACTGACAAAGCAGCAGCATTTGACGAGTTGGGGGTGAGAACGGTCAGGTCCTCAAAGGTAATTGGAACGCAGCATCTGATCAAACTGTGGATGGTTGTGGTGCATTGTGTGTAATTTAGGCAGCAGGTTTTAATGAGGAGTGCATGGATTAGAAAGATTAACTCTGCTTCTGCTGCATCGATTTTGGTCCTTTTTAAGAACCATCCATCTTGAGCCTGACAGTTACAGGAGGGCAATGCTAAATCTGTGGAGGAGTGATCACCGAAGTTAATGTGTCATCTATACCAGATTTGAGGGCAATCAATGAAGCTGAAGTTGTTGATATTTCTAAATCAATGTGGTGAACCGACTGACCAATCGACACACCAGCATGGTCATCCTTAAAGCTACACAGCTAGCCTGGCTAACTGTGTTACAAAGAACTCCACATTTAGAGTTAAACAGACATGTTGAAGCTCGAGGGCTCTAATGTTAAATTTCTGGTCACATTAAAAGTTAAATGGCAGCCAGAAGGTTTCCGTTTGAGGACCTGAGCCCTCTTCTCTGAGGGGATCCAAAGGCCTGTCCTACTGCCTGAGGCCAGATCCCTCTGTGCCCTAAAAGTGCTGGGTCCATGTCTGAAAGGTATCCCATGATATGCAGCGAGGACGGGACGGAGCTGAAGTGACTTCATGTGTTTGAAGCAGTTTAAATCTGCTGCTGCTGCATTTTGTTCTTAAATCTAGTGACGTGAAAGAGACTTGAGATCCAGGTCAGATTAGAGAGTTACAGCAGTCTGAACACAAGAGGGAGATGAAAACCTGAACATTAGCAGTGTGGCGTGCAGATTCCAGCTCATGCAGATACATGTCTGACACCTTTGCAGAGAACGCCTTGCGCAGCCTGCTGGAGGCGCTGACGAGCCCGCCGTACGCTCCCATGCAGCACCTGGAGAGAGAGCAGGCCCTCGCCAAACAGTTCGCTGAGATCCTTCACTTCACACTCAGCTTCGATGAACTGAAGGTGAGCAGGATAATGTATGGTCTGATTAGCTCACAGACTGACCTTTACTGTGCTGGAGAATCCATATGATAAATCACCTCCTCTCTCTCTGTGCAGATGACAAATCCAGCCATTCAGAATGACTTCAGCTACTACAGGAGGACTATAAGCAGGAACAGGCTGAACAACCAGCAGGTGAGGCTGTTCATGTTGCATGGCTCCTCTTTGTCTCTCAAATCATTCAGGTGGAGGTCGTTCTTTCCTCCTAACCATACAATTCCATCTGCCATTCGAGTCACACAGATGACTGGATGATTATTGGACTGAGTGCAACTGATGATAAATGTTTATTAAGGACATCTGCTTTGTACCTGCACACAGCTGGAAGCAGAGAACGAGGTCAACAATGAGATGGCGAATCGGATGTCTCTGTTCTACGCTGAGGCAACACCAATGCTGAAGACTCTGAGTAACGCCACCACCAAGTTTGTTTCAGAGGTACGTCTCCGATTCTTCCCAAGTCAGGTCTAAGGACATGGATTGATTACTGAGCGGACCAAGGACCCCGAGTGTCAGGGGCTCCCCCGGCCTGAACCTGCAAGATGTCACTCAAATGAACACAAACCAACCAGAAAGAGACTCACAAAGACCAGAAATGGCCACAAAGAGACACCAAAAGACCACAATGTGGCACCAAATGACAACAAAGAGACAAAAGGACCACAAAGACACACAAAAAGACCACAGATAGACACAAAAGACCCTACTGAGACACAAAAAGACCACAAAGACACACAAAAATGAATATAAAGAGACACAAAAAGACCACAAAGAGACAAAAAATGACTACAAAGAGATACAAAAAGACCACAAAAAGACAAAAAAAGACACAGAAAAACCACAAAGAGACACAAAAAGACCACAAAGAGACACAAAATGACTACAAAGAGATACAAAAAGACCACAAAGAGACAAAAAATGACTACAAAGAGATACAAAAAGACCACAAAGAGACAAAAATGACTTCCGAGACACAAAATGACCCCGAAGAGACAAAAAAAGACACAGAAAGACCACAAAGAGACACAAAAAGACCACAAAGAGACACAAAATGACTACAAAGAGACACAAAAAGACCACAAAGAGGCACAAAAAGACACAAATAGACCACAAAGAGACAAAATTGACTTCAGAGACACAAAATGACCTCAAAGAGACAAAAAAGACACAGAAAGACCACAAAGAGACAAAAAATGACTACAAAGAGACACAAAAAGACCACAAAGAGACAAAAATTACTTTAGAGACACAAAAAGACCACAAAGAGACAAAAAAAGACACAGAAAGACCACAAAGAGACAAAAAATGACTACAAAGAGACACAAAAAGACCACAAAGAGACAAAAAATGACTACAAAGAGACACAAAAAGACACAAAAAGACCACAAAGAGACAAAAATGACTTTAGAGACACAAAATGACCACAAAGAGACAAAAAAAGACACAGAAAGACCACAAAGAGATAAAAAATGACTACAAAGAGACACAAAAAGACTACAAAGAGACAAAAAAATACTACAAAGAGACACAAAAAGACACAAAAAGACCACAAAGAGACAAAATTGACTTCAGAGACACAAAATGACCACAAAGAGACAAAAAAAGACACAGAAAAACCACAAAGAGTCACAAAAAGACCACAAAGAGACACAAAATGACTACAAAGAGACACTAAATGACCACAGAGAGACACAAAATGACTACAAAGACATAAAATGACTTCAAAGAGACAAAAAAATGACCACAGATAGGCACAAAAGACCCTATTGAGACACAAAAAGATCAGAAAAAAGACAATGACTTCAAAGAGACACAAAAAGACCACAAAGACACACAAAATGACTTCAAAGAGAAAAAAATGACCACAGATAGACACAAAAGACCCTATTGAGACACAAAAAGACCACAAAGACACACAAAAATGACTTCAAAGAGACACAAAATGACAACAAAGAGACACAAAAAGACCACAGTGACACAACAACCTAAAAAATTAAAGTTAAATGACAACAAAGAGACACAAACCAACCACAGAGAGACAAAATTAAAACCACAAAAAGATGCATAACAACTACTAAGAAACGCAACACCACCACAAAGTCTGTGTGTTTTGCTCCTATGTTGAAAAGGTGTTGGGGCCCTTTGTATGTCTGTGCCCAGGGGCCCGTTGTCTCATAACCCACCCATGTCTGTAGATAAGTCTCTTGTACTGAGACTTGGTTAAAACAAAAAGTAGACTCTGAGAACTGAGCTGCAGCGCTGAGTGAAACTTCCCCCTCCTTCTTTTACTGTCAGAACTGTATTCTAGTGTTTCTTATGATCTCTACACCTCAGAGCATCACGACCAACAGACATTTGAGACCACTGCAACATTTAGAGGACATGTTGGTCACGATTGCCTCTCAGCAAAGTCGCCCTGCCTTCCTCATACTTTACCAAACTGCAGCCTTGTCTCCACCTGGTGGCAGAACATTTTGTTCAGTCAGTAAACTACAGAGGGAGGAAAGAGGGGAGAGATGAGCGTTCTCAGTGTTTATCTCACTTCCAAACATTTAAATGAATGAACCGTAACAGGCTTTGCTCTGCTCTCATGTCTCTTTGTTCTGTCCTTTAGAATAAGACCTTGCCCATAGAGGACACCACAGACTGTCTGAGCACCATGGCCTGTGTGTGCCGTGTCATGCTGGAGACTCCGTGAGTATTTCCACACTTCCTTCCATCATCCTTTCTTCAGCTCATCTGTGTCTCTGCTCGTCCTCTCCAAAGGTCAGAAGCCCAGATTTTAATTAATGAGCCTTTCAAAGTGAACACAAAGAGGCCTTCTCATGTTTGAGTAATTCAATAGAATGAATCACACTCGTTCACTCATTCATTCATTGATGGAGTCCATCATGCTACATTTAAAATGGTTCATCTTTCTTTATGTCTCTATGTGAATAAAAAGTCATCAGCAATTTGTGGAGACAATCGCACAGAGCTTCAGATAACAGTAGCAATAATCTGCGCCTGACTCCACGTCCCATCCTGCTCTCTGCTCTGATTCAACAATCTGCTTAATGCTTGTGTGTTAAACTGCTCTCCTCCATCACTGTCTCCGTCACAGGGAGTACCGCTGTCGGTTCACCAACACAGACACCATGCTGTTCTGCATGAGGGTGATGGTGGGAGTCATCATTCTCTACGACCACGTTCACCCCGTCGGGGCTTTTGCCAAGACCTCCAAAATCGATGTGAGTACACAGTTTAAAACAGATCTGCCTCCTGAGAAGCTGCAACACTCTTAAACACCCCCTTTAAAATGTCTATTTGATGACATTAGACACAGTGCGACACCCAAACTGGCTCTTGGTCAGGTTGGCTTCTGTGCCAAGTCCCCAGGAACAGTACTGGGCTAATGTCTGGTCTGTCTCATGATGCCGTGGGGCCCAAAAAGTCTTTTTCCCATAGACTTACATTAGTAAAGAGATGTCTGTCCCAGCCCTCACAAAATGACTCCTTTCACTATCAGAATTTGATCCTTTCAGTTCGATAACATTTAAGTCTAGAAGAGCCGCACAGTTAAATCATTTATCCCCATTCTAGCTAGCGAAGGGCTAAACAGGAAGTTAGCTGCTTGGTTAAAGGTTGTTTTCACATACAGTCCTTTTGAAACAAACTGAACTCAGTCCTCTTAAAGTGCACGAAAAAGTGGACCAAAACAAAAGGGACTCAGTTCTTTTTGTGTTCACATTGTCAGCTCATTTGGAAAAGGACTCAGTTCTATTCCTGGTCCACTTCAGCTCTGATGGGGCCTCAGTCCTCTTTCACACTATAGCCTATATTTGTTTTTACTTTGACGTGGTGCTAATGTTGGCTTAGCATTAGTTTGGACGCTGACTAATGGCCAGGAAAGTGTTTTATGCGGAACATAATGATGTCACAGTGAAGCTGACCTTTGACCTTTTGGATATAAAATGTCATCACTTCATTATTTTATCCTTTTCTCATAATTAGCGTGTGAATTCTTGAGTTATGACCAAAAACACATTTTGTTAGGTCACACTGATCTTTGACCACCAAAATCTAATGAGCTCATCCCTGAGTCCAAGTGGACGTTCCCTCTGCACGGTGATACAATTGACCTATGGCTAAGCCACGCCCCCTCCACTCAACTATCAACATTCAGTGAGCGGCGCTATGGCAGGTGTCACAGTACACGGCATTTCACAGGAGGCAACTGATGATTTTTGGAGACATAACGATCAGATGTCATTGAGAAGTAACCAAAAGGGCCTAAACTACGCATTGGAGGGATATATTCATCATTTTATTGTTGAGAAGGTCGATGAAAATCTTAAATTACAAGCCAAAATTTACAGGTCACAGTGTACGCTTGTGAACCGCATCTGGTTGCCGTCACCATCAAAGACAACAAGTTAAAGTGCCACTGAAGTTAAGGTTTTTGGCTCAGAATATGAGAAAAGGATAACGGCCTTTTTACCATCTTTACCAAGAGTGTCTCTCCGTTAGTTTGGTGCTACAGTATTTACACTGAATCATTCAGCATAACGTTTGCCAACCTTTGTTATCTCTGCCATTACAGATAAGTTAATGAAGCTAAGCTCCAGAAGTTAACGTTAGCTTAACTAGAGCCCTTTGGACAACAGCTAACAATGATGTACGATCACCAAAGTACAAAACTAGAACAAAATAGGCTAATGAACTCCCAGCAAACAAGGTGACATGATGAACAACGCAGCTAGGAGCTAACGTTAGGCTAACTTTAGCTAACGTTAGCTAGAGATGTTAAAGATAACTTTATATTTCTTTCCAGCAAAGTGACAATATGTTGCCTCAAACACAATGTTGACTTACCTTAGAACAGATGTAGACATCATTGTTAATCTTATTCACGTTAAGTTGATGTTGTGGTCTAACGTTACCACACAACTTTATCCAAAGGAGACACTTTTCTCGCTTGAGATGTGGTTTAAAGTGTAAAAAATACACCTGGTCGCCCAGCCTCTCAGGATACCTTGTGTCAGAGTTGCATGTACCCCATGCACACCGTTTGACCATTTTTAAACTTCAAATCCCCGAAAAAGCTCATAAAACCGAACAAACTGACTTTCTGTAATGCATTTCAATGGACGTCCAGGCAGAGAATGTCTGAGTTTATGGCTATACGCACTGTGATTGGCTCATTGCGTTTGAGGGCGGGGCTTAGCCATAGGTCAATTGACAGGTGTAGTTCAGCAGAAAGAAAATAGTTCCATACATGAAACTGCTCACAACAAAGTCTGTGGAAAATCTTGAGTAACCAGGTCATGATTCCTGCGAAGAGACGTTGATGTTGAGTTTTTAAATGTATTTTTTTGGCGCTTTGAGCACCATAAGCCGAGCACCATCTAGTTCCATTATACTGGAGAGAAGGCAGACATCTCTACAGCCGATATCTCCAACACTGTGCAACTCACACTAATACTATCTAGACTGATACATAGTGCTACGGGTAACAGGAGAAATATGTATGTTTGATTTTGGAGTGAACTGTCCCTTTAAATCAAACAGTGAGAAGAGCAAAAATATTTCTTTGATTCAGCAGGATCATCATCCTCACCTGGACAGACAATAGATCACACTTCATGTTAAAGCATAACGAGCCCAGAGGGAACCACAGGTCTAACCTTATCAAGACCTGTGTTTGCTCATGTACGAAACATATTCACACACTTTGACTTTATAAAGGTGCGGTGTGTGCAGAGTTGGTGTTTGGCTGCAGCAGCAGGAGATGAGGTAGATCTGAGGCTGCTGACCTTTCTCTAACACCGTGTGTCGTCTTTGTGTCGCGCAGATGAAGGGCTGCATCAAGGTGCTGAAAGAGCAACCGTCCAACAGTGTGGAGGGACTTCTGAATGCACTGAGGTGTGTATGAACATGTGTGTGTGTTTTAGTGACAGAGAAAGAGATATAAACAGATGTGACGCACAAATATGTCTCAGAGCATTCTGATGTCTCTGTCACTGTCTCCTTCAGGTATACGACACGGCATCTAAATGATGACAGCACCTCCAAACAAATCAGGGCCCTGCTGCAATGAGAAGGAGGAGAGAGGGAGGAACGAAGGAGCGCACTTGAAGAAGGAGGAAAAAGAGAGGAAGAAGGAGGAGGAAACAAACGCCAGTGGCTGATAAACCTGTTTGTTTACAACGAACAAAGAAAATCATCTCCAGGTCCACACAAACCTGATGATAATAAGAAGAGGAAAATAATTATATATATTGTCAGCTGTCCATCATTCTGTCTCTCATTTTGTAAAGTAAGAAAAGAGAAAAAAAAAAGCCAGAAAAGAAAATATAGATATATATTAAAACAAGTGAAACACAAGCAGCAGATGAAGAAGACGTAGGGTTAAAGAGGAAGCTATATTGCAAAATTTAAGGTCAGAACCGACACAAACTGAAAATGTACAAAAACAGAGAGGGTTCATGTTCCAGCAGTAGTCTGACAAGTATTTTTGCACACACTTTGAAACGACACCATCTCCTTTCCCCTGAGATCTGATCCCAAAGTGATTCCCGCAGACTTTCCCGTGCCCCCTCGCTCAGTTACACCGGAGGAGGTTTGAAGCTCTTGAGGTTGCAGATGTCTGACTCCTTCAGCTGCACCGAGCTCAGGTGATTCATGGAGCAATGTGATGGATGCACTCCGGAGATTTGCTTCTGCCTGTTTGTTTCTTTTCTGCGTCGGTGCAGCTGAAGTAGAGGAGGCAAGGACACAAGTTGTTAGGATGCCTCCATTCTCTTTGCCCTGATTTCTCCCTCATTGCCCGTCACCCTCACCCTTATTCCCATCCATCCATCCCTCCATCCATGAGATACCTGATTTTTCCTCGGCACATAAAAATCCCCTCCATGCTGTGTTCCCGACGCTGTAAATGTTCCAGCACGAAACATCTCGTGAGTAGTCTGGCTTTACTTGAACAACTTTGTTCACTCTCTCTTTCTCCATGGTGCTAATGTGGTTTAGATATCACAGTACTATCTTGTTAGACATCAGCTCCTTCATCCCTTTTTCTCTGCACTAATATGTTAAATCTCAAACTCTGAGAACGGCAGATTTGCTCTCTTTGATTTCACATTAGTGCACAAACAGGGACGAATCAGATTTTACTCGACTCGTATGATCCATGAGAGGCTTTCTGGGAAACCACAGCACACTTACTTCTTCACCCAGTGCCAAAGCTGATTGGTTTTTACTTTTATTGTATCATCAAGCCAGGCTGGATGAAGAGGAGGCCGATGAAGAGGAGGAGGAGAAGGAGGAGGAGGGGGGGGGGGGATTTGAGGGGTTGAAATCTTGTAAAACATCACAAACATCATATGAAACAGCCGAGACGACACAAGCCGACACACACACACAGTCAGAAAGAGTCACACGTGCATTTTAAGGGAGAGATCTGAGTGTCACAGTGTAAATATGAGTCTCTTCTCAGCAGGCATCTACATGGTCAGCTTGGGTCCTCGAGGAAAAACACAGTCTGCATACAACTCTTAGTTTTAGTACGAGGTGGTTAAAGAGCTACGTCATTGAATAAGTGGGAAATAAAAATGAAACTAAAAAAAGATTCAAACGGAGATTAAAAAGAACAAGTGCTGTACTTTGGATGTCTATAGCCCTTAGTCTAATTTAATTTGATCTTATAATATATTTTCTATACAGGGGTATGTGCACAAGCATATTCTGTATAAATATATAGATGGCATGTTGTAAAAGTTCTGACAGAAATGTGTAAATAAGGTGTTTTTATTCATTTTTAATTGTTCAGTGACGCTGAAATTGGGTATGTGTTGTCTCTCAGAATTACCATGCGTTTGGCTTGGACCATCGGACTTGCCGTAGTCATAGGTTTCAGAAATTCAGCTTCATTATTATTGCAGATGAACCAGAGGGAGGGGAGGGACGCTGTGTGGGGGGGAGAGGGGCTGTCCATTTGCTTGTTATTTTGTACATTTTGTGCAACAATAAACTTGTCATTTATTACATTCAACCACTGATGTTGTGTCTCTGTACAGCGCCACGTAAGTCAGAGCGTGTGTGGTTTCTTTTATTAATAATACATCTATTTTCATCCGGGGCGGGTCCTGGGGGCAGCAGGCTGAGCAAAGCACCCCAGATGTCCCTCTCCTCAGCAACACTTTCCAGCTCCTCCTAGGGGATCCCAAGGTGTTGCCAGACCAGATGAGATATATAATCCCTCCAGTGTGTTCTGGGTCTGCACAAACCACCTCAACTGACCCCTTTCAACATGAAGGTGCAGCGCCTCCGAGCTCCCCCTGGATGTCTGAGCTCCTCCCCCTATCTCTGAGACACCCTACAGAAGAAACTCATTTCAGACGCTTGTATCTGTGATCTCATTCTTTCAGTCACTACCCAGAGCTCATGACCATAGGTGAGGGTTGGGACGGAGATGGACCAGGAAATTGAAAGCTTTGCCCTCCGGCCCAGCTCCCTCTGAACCACGACTGTCTGGCGCAGTGTCCACATCACTGCAAAAGCCGCACCAAACTGCTGATCCATCTCTCGCTCCATTCTACCCTCAAGATCTCAATACTTGAACTCCTTCGCTTGAGGCAGGAACTCTCTCCCAACCCGGAGGGAACAATCCACATTTTTCCAGCAGAGAACCACGGCCTCAGATTTGGAGGTGCTGACTCTCATCCCGACCCCTTCACACTCAAACCGCCCCAGGTCATGCTGGAAGTCACGGTGTGATGAAGCCAACAGAACAACATCATCTGTAAAGAGCAGAGATTCAACTCTGAGGTCCTCAAACTGGACCCCTTCCTTCCCCCGGCTGTGCCTTGAGATCCTGTCCACGAATATCACAAACAGGATTGGTGACAAGGGACGACCCTGTCGGAGGCCAACACCCACTGAGAACATGTTTGACTTTACGCCAAGTACGCGGATGCAGCTCTTAGTTTGGTCACACGGGATCACACGGGGTCGGATAGCTCGTAGCAGTGAGCCTGGTCCCTCCTAGTCATGCAGTACCACTCCCTGAGGGACGCAGTCGTAAGCCAACAGTTCTAAGGGGTATATGATATACCAGGATACATTTTTAAAAAGCATTAAAATAGAGCTTGTTAAAAAAAGAAACAATTCCTACGGGAGGATTCCCCTCAACGCCCCCACAGAAGTCCAGGCTGTTAATACTGTTAAATACTGTTAAATTACAGTAATATACAGGCATAGATGTACCACTGAGCGCCACAGGAAATAGATGTGCCACTGAGCGCCACAGGAAATCATTCCTGCCTGTGGCCATCAAACTGTACAACTCCTCCCTCTGAGTGGCCCTGAGACTTTTTCACACACCGCAATAATTTCATTTAACTTGTGCAATAACCCCATTCACCCTGACTGTATATATTCTGTTTATGTAAATAATCTTGTTCAGTTTGCAATATATATATATATATATATATTTACGTTTATGTTTGTTAATAATTCCTGTTTATTTAACTATAACTATATATTTGTTAATACTATTGTTTAAATTTCTTATATTTTCACGTATCTTTCCTCTCTTGCAAGGAGCACCTGTAACATAAATAATTTCCCCTCGGGGATCAATAAAGTATTTCTGATTCTGATTCTGATAACTTCTCTGAGATCACAGTATACAGCTGTCATTTTACAGTAATTTACTGTATACATACAGTCAAATATTTTACAGTGGCAGCTCAACAAGCACATTCTGCACTACTAATACTATATGTCTGGTACATATCACTTGATTTACTCAGATTATTAAAACCTCATGATAAACTATGGAGTATAGTTTTGCACAGGATGAAGACTCTGGATTTTGTCCCCCGTCACCTCCACTGGCATCGCATGAGGAAGGAATCTGTTAACAGCCGGTATGAACAGGAAGTCATCAGGCGGTGCTCCAACAATCAGACTTTTTTTTAAATGTTGGTGTTGGGAAACAAAAAGCTGCACAAACAAAAGGATGTTGACGAGAAACTAAACATGTGACCAGGGTTAGATGCCAAAAAGAAAAGGTGAGGAACCACTGGTGTGGAAGGTGATCGTTAAAAACACAGGCTGAAGTCTGTCAATGTCCCTTTTACTTTCTGTAGTCTGACAGTATTTAAAGTTAATGTTTTTAATGTGTCAGTGATCCCACTCGCCATCACCAGCTGTGTATCTGTCATCACTGAAGGTGCACTGCATTTAATTTATTATCATGTACCTGCCTGTACAGTATCAAGTTAGTCACTGTTTTATTCTGTCTCTTTTTATTATGATTTATGAGTTACAACTCTTATTTATCTGCAGACACCTGAACGCCCCACGGACGCGGTGAGTTAGCTTGTGCTGAGCTCCGTTTATATAACTTATATTTGACACTTTATTCGTCACGCATGTGAAGATGTGCTCCACACAACAACTGCTGATGTCAGGATGTTGTTTGTGACGTAAGAGGAGTAAATTGTTACGTAGGCTAACTGTTCGGTAAATTTGCTAGCTTAAAGTTAGCATGTGGCTAACCCTAGCAGCTAACTGTTTAACAGACAGTGAGTCTCATGGATTTGATCCTGTAGCTGTGAGACCTGATGGACAGATATGTTTCATGTGTTCATCACCAGATTTAATAAAGTGACATCAGAGTCTGACAGTGATCCTCGTCATCTGTGACACTACACAACATGTGATAGGACTACACCGCTCCAATGGCGCCATGACACACCCTCCTCCTTCCTGGTGTTGCTGCAGACTCGACATGGGACAGACGACTCTGATCTTTCATTTGGTGCCGTGAGTCTCAGTTTTGGCTTAAAGCCTGATATTTGGACTGAATCTGATGTATGGTAGCCCAGAAGGCCAAAAAAAAAGACTTTACCTTGAGGTGGTAATTGTAATTTTGTACATGCAACTGGTAAATTGGTGTGAATGTCACCTGTGAAGGTAAATTTTATGATTTTTTTTTTCTCCTTTCTGTGGGGGTGATCATTTAATGCGTGGATCTCTATCTGAATGGACAGTCAAGAGAAGCAAACATGTTAAGATAAGATAAACAGTGATTAAAACTATAAAAGAAATAGTCTCATAGAGTTATAGGTTTTTTTTCGTTTTTCACTAACAATGGGTGTGTCTAATGTGTCAGGTACTGGTCGGGGCTCAAGGCTGTGGTTTAGTCAGTTTCCTACTCCTCTTTATGCTTGGGTTAATCATACTGTGTGTGTGATAATGCATGTGCTACTGCTGAGATTGGGGTGGATGGTCAGTCTGCACTTTCTGGTCAAGACGTCGAACATGTCCTGGTTAATGTTCTCAGCGACTTAAGCCTAGTTCACATTACACGATGTTCACCACGATTTTGACGTCGCAGAGGATCTTGAGAGCCACCTTGGGTCGGAGGTGAGTCGGCAGATAGTCTGCCACGACGAGTCCTCATGTGTGAACAAGCCTACGAGCAAGTCACCCCGTCTGTGACTGGGACTGGATATCTGGCATGCTAGAAAACTGGAGAAGTTTGACACGACTGACAAAGAGCATCAGCCAATGAGAGGCGGGATACGTCCCACGTCAGCACACAGGAGTACGGAAGAAATGTGAGGAGGACAAGCCAGCAAGCAACAACAACAATGGTGGCGTCCACAGGATCAGGAGCTGTCAGACATTCCATGTTGACAGGTAAAGTTTAGCGCCGGGGAACTTCATAATATCCTGTTTTGTTCATGTGTGACAAAACGTAGTTTGGTGACGTCACTGCATTATCTGGGGCTCTGTCTGTGAGGGCTCGGTGGAGAAATCTTGTGGTCGTTACGCAGTTGTCGAGACTCCCGATGACAGAAACACATGTTGCCAGATGAACACTCAAAAGATTACGATAGTCTCCTCGACTCAAGACTGGTCGGCCAGCTGATCTTTCTAAGGTTAACCTGACGGTTGGCCATGATAGTTATGAGCCACACCCTTTCAGGGGAGACACACTGACAAGGTTTCAGTCTCTGAGTGGGAGGAAGCTATGAGACTTTATCTGGGCAGGAGGGGCGTTGAGCTATGTAACCAGGTAGAAGAGGTTTTGGGCAAGCTAAGGGGGAGAGCACGAGATGTTGAGACTATTGGGTCAGGCCCTCAACCTGTGTTTGACATACATAAGCAGCACTTCATTGACTCTGTGACCTCCTTTATGCCTCTATATATAACACAAAGCCCCGCCCCATTGAGACTGCTGTTGACTATTGGATTCGGCTTAACAAAGTCATCAACATTGCTGTAGAAGGACTAAGGAGTAGTGATGTTACGCTCGAGCCAGTTCGCTCGACACAGTGTTGACCTTTTGAAGCGTGT